CTCTTGTCGCCCAGGCTGGAATGCAATGGCATGATCTTGGCTTCCTGCAACCTCTGGCTGTCGGGTTCAAGTGATTCTCCTGCCTCAGCCTCCTGAGTAGCTGAGATTACAGGTGTGGGATTGGATTACTGGCTAATTTTTGTAGAGATGGGATTTCACCATGTTGGGCAGGCTGGTCTTGAACTCCTGACCTCAGGTGATCCACCTGCCTCAGCCTCTCAAAATGCTGGGATTACAGGCATGAATCACTGCGCCTGGACATCCATTCTCTCTTGAATCCACTCCAAGTCACACCTTAATCTCCACCATTCACCTGAGGCTGCTCCTCTTGAGGTCGTGAATGATCTCAGTGTTGCTAAATCCAACACTCTTCATCTTGCTTGGCTCATTGGCAACTTTTTATGCAGTTGATCTCTTCTTGAAAAACTTTCTTGTTTGGCTTCCAGTATTCCACACTCATCTTGTTTTCCTTCTGTCTGTCTGGCTACTGCTTGTCAGTTTCCTCTGTTTACTAGTCCCTTCTTTACTTTCCAGTTTCTTAACATAGAAGAGTCTCAGGGCCCACTCCTTAGATGTCTCCATTTACAGTTAGTTGTTTGGTGTGTTATCCAGTTTCATGGTTCTCTCTCTCTCTCTCTCTCTGTATTATCTGAAGCCAGGACCCTCCCTGAGGACCATCAGGCTTCTGTGTTGAGGATAGACTGTTGGGTGAATGGTCTCAGGATGAAATGGGGAGATTAGTTATGATGCTACTGGAGTAATGGTAGCAGCAGAGAGGGTGAGAAGTGGGTATTTTCTCGATATGTGCTTGGCGGTAGAGATAACAGGATTTACTGACGATTTGGATGTGGACTGTTAGGAAAAAAAAATCAAGGATAACGCCATTGTTTTTGTCCTAAATAACTGGAAAGATGGAGCTGCCATTAGCTGAGGTGAGAAATGTCGTGATTAGAGTGGATTTGGTATGTGTGATCGAGTGGTAGTAAAGAGCAGAAAACCAGTTCATTTATTTTTGTATGGCTTGAGATGAATATTGGACTTCCAAGTTTATAATTTGACTAGGTAATTTGGGAGCGATAATAGACTGTCTGCCCCATGGGATCATGAGCTCCACTGGGGCAAGGCCTGTGTCATGTTCATTGTTGTGTTTAGCATAGTACTTGGCACATTATAAGTGCTCAAATATTTAATTGTTGGCAACTTTTTTTAAATTTTAGATGGAGTTTCCCTCTTGTTGCCCAGGCTGGAGTGCAATTGTGTGATCTTGGTTCACTGCAACCTCCGCCTCCCGGGTTCAAGTGATTCTCCTGCCTCGGCCTCCCGAGTAGCTGGGATTACAGGCACATGCCACCACACCCGGCTAATTTTGTATTTTTAGTAGAGATGTGGTTTTTCCATGTTGGCCGGGCTAGTCTTGAATCAAAGTAATTTTTTTTGTGGGTTCCTCCTTACCAGCTGATTACTTCCTCCCATGGCACTACCACACACCTCATAGCCCCATTACAGTGATCAATACTTTGTCTGCCTGCACAGCCCTGACTTTGGATTCAACTAATATAAGGTCTTACTATGCATTGGCCACTCTCCTAGGCCCTGGAGTTATGAGACAGTGGAAAATATTCTGGTGGGGTGGATGCTAAATGTTCATAAATCAAGCATGACCTTTAACTTCATGCACTCCAGACAAGGGCTTTTCTTCTTTGATGTGGAATGGTGACCCACCTGAAATGTAAGTTAAAGCTCCTTCCCTAGACAGGAAGGACTTCTTAGCCTGACTCACACCTTCCCTTATGACAATACAGTGGAGACAAGGAGCAGACAGACAACGTATTACTGAGACATATAGAGTGTATTTCCGGTGGTGCCCTGCCCCACCTGCACATTTATTTATGGAAATGACTGGTCCTCTGGAGGGATGCAGCAGTGGGGAGCCTGCAAACTCTTTTTCATGGCTCTGCATCTTCTCCTTGAGCAGACCAATGTTTCTATCTGAACTGAGGGTCAGGAGCTAGGGTAGGTGCCCTGGTTTGGTGACACAAGCCACTCGAGGACAGTGCCAAGGGCAATGGCGGGGGTGGCCTGAGGCTGAGGCACAGCTAGGTTGTCTGGAGCGTAGCTGGAGCTTATTGTCTGGGGCCTGGGGACCATCCAAGAAGGCTGGGCCCACCAGCTTCTCAGCAGGACGAGATTGGGCCTTGGAGTGCCTTGGTGGCTTCTCTGTCTTACTTCTCCCCACAGGGTTCTTGGCTGGAGCTGGGCTCTTTGCAACATTTTCTTTTCTGGTTTTGGCCACCTTTGAAGCAGCTGAGAACATGGAGTCCTCATGCCCTTTGCCTTTCATCTTGGGATTAATACACTGCAGAAAAGATTTAATTTTATTTCTCAAGCTAGACTCTGGAAGGCTGGGCCTCTTGTGAGTACGGGGTGGCATCACCTGCCCATGCAAAACCTGGCCTTGCAAAGTTTGGCCCTGCAAAGGCTTACTCTGAGTTGGTAGGCTTAGGAAAGGCTGACCCTGTGAAGCCTGGGGCACCACAGTCTGGGCATTCTCAGGAATCCTCGCTAGTTCAAAGATGGCATTTATCTCAGTTTGACGGTCTTGCAGGTCATTCTGAGATTCTTTCCCACCAGGGACTCCCGTAGGTAGCTGTGGGAGCTTAAGCTGAGAGTGATGCTGGAGGCTGTGTTGACAGGGATCTGCAAGATGAAAGCTACGGCTCCATTGCCAGGAGCCTCGGGGTGTCTTGTTTGGAAGCATCCCTCCTGGCCTCTGGTCATCAGCAGGGGGTCTTTGTTCTCTGGTTGAGGGGAGCCCAAACCCTGTATCCCCTTCTCCATGGTCCCTGGCTGCTTTGGTTTCTTCTGGGTCCTCTCTCTTTCCTGCTAACATGGAGATATGGGCTGGGTCGTTGCTCTTGTTAGGGCTTTGAGGCTCAGGGCCCCAGGGTTCCTCCAGACTGGGGTTGTTCACATTGGCCTCCACCTGAACACAAAGCACTTGGGCCTCTGTCATGTCCCCACTGGGTTGTGAGATCTTGGAGACCCAGTGGGCAGAACTTTGGGGTACTGTTTTGGAATTAGATTGCTTTTGGTTCTGCTGCACTGCCTTCCACTCATTGGCCAGCTGTTCTTTAAGGTGGACCCATTCTGGATTGGGGGCAGGAGTGTCTGGTGGGATGGGAAGTTCCTGGAGCAATGTCTCCCCTTGGTGGTTTAGACTTTGAAGAGACTCCTGTGTGAATATGTTCTCAGGAACTGTAGCACTTTGTTCCCTGGACTCCCTTGCTCTTATGGGAATTCCCAATTGTATCTCTAGGACCTTCTTTCTCAGGTGGAAGTTTAGTTTGGTCAAGATATGTGTCTGGAGTGAGTGGGGGCTAGCAGGATGAGCCTGGCTTTCTAGAGGCAGCGTCTCCGTTGTTTCTTTTACTGGCACTGCAGGCTGGAACTCTTCTGCAACGTCTGTACAAGTCTTGTTGTTGTCTTGAGGGCACGGCCCAAGACTTATACAATGATCTTCAAATGAAGTCATCTGAGTCGGAAGCTCTGCTGGGACCTCCATAGGCCCGGGCACCATATCTGTGATGACAGATTGGCTAGTGACTGGCACGGTCAGGGCCCTGGAGAGCGCCACATAATACAGAGCAGGCAGCCCTGACAGGAAGGCCAGATACTTGTGCCGTAAAGTTGTCTCCAGTTTCTCAATGGCCTCCACGGACAAGACTCGGAGCAGCTTAGGGTGTTCAGTGGCAGTACATGGTAAGGCCTGTTGCTGCTGATCAAGGGCCGTTGGCATCCAGGGCATAACTTTGTGATGTAGGTCAGGGTCACTTGCTGTCTGCAGTTCCAGGAGCCGGCTTCCTGGAATGCAGGGAAAAGGAGCCACTGCCAGGCCCCCAGAAATTCTGCAGTCCCAGGACCTATGTACACAGGCAGGGATCTTGCCCTGGTGGATCTGTCCACATTTGGAGTCAATGTGGTTCTGCAGTATTGCCTTGACCTGGGTTAACAAGTGTGGCGTGGGTATGGACACTGGGGCCACAATGGGTGATGGGGCCACATCACAAGCCCCGTTGGCCTCCAGTGCTGCAGGCTGGGGGATGCTCACATTGGCTAGGGTTGTGCTGCTGCAGGACAAACTCTGCTGGTCAGTGGATGTAAGGAGCAACTGGATGGACTGCCGGATCTTCTGAGGCAGGCCCCAGCGATGGTGAATCAACTGTTTCTGGATGTGGAATTCCAGCAGGTTCCGGGCATGCTCTGGGAAGAGTAGTTCCCTGGTGAGGACTGAGATGGACTTCCCTGGCTGGGAAGTTGTCATGGTCTCAGGAGACTGAGCTTTGCCACAGGGCTCATGCTGCATGGGGCACTGGGTGTGCTGAGACCGCTGTAGGACAGCTGGCAAGCCCCACTGAAGCTGGAGCTGCCTCTGTAGCAGGTGCCACTCCAACGCTTCACGCTCGGCCAGAGTCAGAAATGGGACGTTGATCTGAGCTCGTTGATGATCAGATGGAGAAACCCATTTTGGGAAAAGTGGGGAAGAGGGTGGAGTTGACTGGGGTGGAGTTTTAGGCAGTAGATGGGGGAAGGAGAGCTTGTTGAAGAGAAAAGGATTCTTCAAGGAGGACTTGGGGACATTTTCATTCTTTGAGAGGCCTTGGGAGCCCACAAAAGTGGGCTCCTCCTTTGGTTCTGTATTCAGGGACTCACTGTGCAGAGAAGGGAGCCCACAGAATAGCTGGCTGCATTTCTGATGCAGATCACTCCCTGAGTCATTATTTTGTCTCCCAGACAGTGGATGGGGGCAACTTAGGGCCTCAAGGGCTGGAGAGGGCAAGGCTAGAGCCACAGGGTTTGGGCTTTGCTGACAGTGGTGTCTTTGCTCTGGGTTCATAACAGTCCATTCAGAAACCCAGAAGGTCTGGATAGGCTGGCCAGCCACACATGAACACCAGGTCTGGTGGGAAATGATCTCAAATCTATGAAGAGAGACCTGAGAAGTATTATTCAGGTTGAAAGAATGTGGCTGTCCATTTCCAGGCTGGTAATACAATGGTGGGTTTGGCATAAGCTGCCTCAGGGACTCCTCCACACGTCTGGGGAGCCCCCACCTCTGGAAATGCATCCATTTTTTAACATGTACCTCAAGAAGCCTCAGGACTTCAGGACTGAGGAATGGCAGGTGGGCAGCAAGGACCATATCCAAGGCCATTGGATGTGTCAGATTCAGGGTTTCTGGGTTCAGGGACAACAAGGAGACCTGGGAATTCAAGTGATGCTGGCCTTGGTTCCCCTGGACATGGCTGGGGTTGCTGTGCATCATCTCCTCCTGGTTCAGTGGAGCTCTTGGCTCCTCCATCGAAGAAGCCATTGTGTTTGGGCCCTGTAGCACATCTGGCATTTGAAATTCCTGCCCTAGCTGGAGGTGATCAGCCCAGTAATCTTGGCTGCCATCTGCATACGTTGACTGGGCAGCTGACTGGGTTAAAGATTTCTGATATGTTAATTGTGACAGTGTCGGGGTTACAGATGCCTGTGAAAGCTCTCTGGTATGTCTGGAATGGAACTCTAGACTCTGCTCAAAGGATATAGTAGACACAGACAAAATCTCTAGGCAAGAGGAGACCTGTGATGGGCTCCTCGATAAAGTTGGGGACTTCCGGTTGTTCTCACCCATCAGCAATTGCTGTATCTCCTGAGCCACAGCGTTGCAAATTTGGCAACAGGGATCTGCACACAGGATTCGCCGCACGCTTCTCTCCGGAGGAAGCCATCCCTGACTGGAAAGGGAAACATGGCAAACATTAATGATGGAGTGATATCTGCCTTCTTGGAAGAGTGTGGGCTAGGCTTGGCATTTCCCTTCCTTAGTCCTGCTAGTCTAGAAGCCTATACTCCCTTCATCTCTACTACTCTACTTTTCTTCCTAAGAAAATGCCATTTGGTAAGGTATGGTGGGCTGAGGCCTAGGACTCATTGGGCAAGGCCTCAGGTATTCCACAGAAGAGCACGCCCTCGGAGAGCACTGGGAGCTGAGTTTGGCTCAGCTCCCAAGGTCCTGTGTTGGCTTTGATGAGAAGCTGAACTGGAAAAAGGAACCAAGCATGTGGAAGAGTCAGTTGGTTAGCTCATGGGGCATAATCAGGAATATATCACAAGGTAGAACTGTCTTACATTCTCATTTGAGGCTAAGAAACCCAAAGCCTAGTATTCAGCACATCCAAACTGTGGAAAATGAGATTCATGTGGGATTTGTGCATTCCGGGACTATGAGCTATCCCTGCTAATTAACCCTACATCTCCTGGGAATCGATCTTGTTCTCTAGAAATCTTAAGAGGATAAGATTATATGCCCCAGTCTTAGGGCTCTGCCAAGAACTGGACTCTCTGAATACAGAACCAAAGGAGGTAATATCAGCAGTGTTCATCTTGGCCAGCTGAGTCTGCTCATGAAAGACTGTAGCTGTAAATAGAATGCAACATGGATGACTTCCTCATGCAAAATCTATTCTCTTGACTGAGTAACGTATCTCATAGCTGAGTAGAACCCCATGTAATTTCTTTTATAAATAGTATACTAGTAAAATCTTGAATTCCAGAGCTACCATGACCTTACCCCAAATCAGTATTGGGTAACTCTTTCCTCCTGAGATGATTATACCTTTGCAACCCTCTCAACTAGTGAACCAGCGTCCACTGTGTGTCTCCCTCCCAGACACTTTCCATCTCCTCAGTCCTGTCCCAGGCTACACGAAAAAAATCACCACAGGTCAGGCTGGTGTTTTGAGACTGAACAGCAATAGATTACCTTTTCATGACAGAGAGCAGCTCCTGTGGCTTCTCAGCTTCTTCCTGAGAAAGTCTCCTAGCTGAGGAACCAGAAGACAGTGTTATAGTAAACAGTGACATGGTAGAGTTTTCAGAGTATCTGTAGGAGGTTGGAGCCTTTCACTCTCAGCAAGAAGACACTGAGAACCCTAATTATAAATGCTCTAAGGTCTTTCTGTGCACAGTATAATGAATCATGACTTGTTCTCCTATGCCCATTCTTATTTGACCTTAACAACCATACTGTGAATGAGAGGATCATCAGATGCCCATGTTATGGTAAACAAGACTGAGAGATGAAGTGACTTCCACAGGTTTTAAAACTAGTAAATGACATAGCTAAGAAATCAGAGGTATTTCCTCAATTCTTTATTCCCATGGGAATAATATAGAGAATTTAAAAATATTTCCAAGGTATGATTTCCCACCCATGGAAGATTCAGTCTGGGGAATTGGAGTCTTCAGTGGCAGAGCACATGGCTCTTGGCTCCAGGGGTCATAGAGGGACTATGGATTCATGGGAAACACCCGCATTGGAAAGGAGTCAGAGGAGAGATTGGGATTTTACCTGTTGATGCTGCATCTCTAGCCCTTTGCCTGACTTTTTGGTGACGCTTAAAAGACAAAAACAGAATGTGAAGCTGGGACACCATTATCTTTTTCACGTCCAAAATGAGACAAAACTTACATTTTCCACTCCCTTTCTATATATCTATCTGTATTTTATACACTCTCCTGGATTTCCTTTGCCTCTTCCACCTTTTTATTCCATTTTCCTTCTCTGCTTATTTCTGATTCACTTGGAGGCTTTTCCAAACTCTATACCTCCCATCTGATTCCCAGAGAAGTCCTGTTGGATATTGAGGATGACACAGGAGAAAAGCAGAACTGAAAAAGGGTAAGTAGTTCTAACAACCACAGGGCTTCTGCTTAGGAAGCCCACCAACCAGAAAAATCCACCATATTAAGAGATCTTCCAAGATCCAGCAAGATAGACTCCATATTATCTAGTTCTCAACCCAAGCCAAATAGAGAGGTTCTTGACTTTTCAATCAGAATATGTTGTGGGAAGGGCCTGTTAAGGAATATAGTCTCTGAGAAGAAAAGTATTACACAAATTTAGCTGAAGATATGCTATAAAAATTGTGCAGTAGGGATTATGAGTAGGGACACTTAGAACCTATAAGCTTCTTATCTGAGGCTTAATTAGTTCAGTTGGAATCTTAGTGTTGCCCTACCCGGCAGCAGCTCCTTTTAGCTTCCAAACGCAATTCGTGGTGGCTCCTTTTCACTTGCCAGATAAGTAGAATAATGATGAAGATGGAGCCATAGATGTATAAGGGATATCCAACATCCCACAGAACAAAATTAGGGCTCAACATGGTTTAAATCTCATTCATATGAGATCAGCCATCCCTGTATCTCGGCATTCAGGGTTCTGGTGCCTAATGACTCCCAGTGCTAGGCCTTGTCATGTCCACCTCACAGAGGATGGAACTAAGCCACCAGAATGCATCACAAAGCCCTCCTGTTTCATAAGGCACATGTAGTAGGGAAGCTTATGTGGTGATTTGGTCTGTAGATGAGGGTTTTTTGAGCCTGGGACTGAAGGTGCCATAAGCAGTGTCTATTTCCTAGTCTGTCTTCACTCCCCACTCCCTATACCAGCCTGATGGCTCGGCTCTCTCCTTCACAACTGTATGGTCACCCGTCCTCAGAAAACTGAGTGCTTTGGCACCCAGGGCACCTTATGAGAAGGAGTGGTTAGGCCAGAGGAACCTCCACCAACTCTCCCACTGGTTTTGGAAATATGCCTGAGAAGCACACATGAATTTAAGGAGGGTGGAGTCTGGTTATGGCTTGGAAATGAAGAGCTTTGATGTTTCAGGCAATGGTTGACTGGTAACAGAGGTGCAGGAAGGGGGCCATGGCTGATGTGGTAGGGTAGTAGGGAAAGGCCAAGATGGCTGTATCAATCCAGTCTTGCAGATGGGTAGGGAGAGATTGTAAATGCTGCCTTCTATGGAGGCACATTAATGGTCAGGGAGATGAAGGCCTGCAGAGATGGGTTAGCGGCCACTTCTGACTGTGGGTCACAAGTGACTAGTTGCTGTTCGTGGTTGGATGTATGCTGTTTGCCTGAGGAGATTTTGTTTGTTTGTTAGTTATTTTCTCAAATCTGGATTTTGTAAATTTTTAGGCAGGGAATGGCATGTGTTTTCCAATTCAGCTTCAGGACCTATTACTTCTATAGCCAGACGATTGATTTACCTGCTTAGCTTCTGTAGATACTGTGATATGCCTCCAATACCTCAGTATTTCTGAATTTCCTTGGGAGAGTCTTGCTCTGGTAATGGTGGTCTCAAGCCAAGAAACCCTTGGGCTCAAAATCTCTGAAGAGGCTATTTGGTCCTTCCTCAGTATCCAGTCCACCCAGCAGATGTGGTAAGCACCCAATATGTGCTTGACCCTAAGCTGGGGAGTGTTGAGGGTACAAAGACATTTGAGCCACATTGGCTTTCTGCTCTCAAGATGCTTAACAATGTAGTTTCAAAGACAAGACTAATTCATACAAAGCAAGAGCCAACAATCAGTACAAATAGACTTACGTACTCATTTGCAAGGCTCTGGCCACAAACATTCTATTTCAGAAAAGAGAAATCATAGTGAGGATCGTGGTTGTCAGAGAGGGATCCTGGGTAGTTGAAGCTAAGTTTAAAAGCGCAGGCCATGGGCAAAAGGACTGTTCCTGGTGGGAGAAAAACTTACCAGCTCATGCAGAAACTAGGGAATGGGCCATGGAATTCATTTGGCGATAAGAAATGCAATCTATCTCTAGCAGAAGTGCAGAAGAGTAGACTGGAGAGCAATTGTTGGAAAGATTGGAGTATTAGGGATAGAGACCTCTTGATGGAGGGAGGGCCTTTGTATCTATTTTATTTCAATCCCTAAGACTATATTTTTAAAAAGTAAACATACATGGCACCAAATTTAAAAGGCAGAAGAGGTATATTGCTGTGTCTTTGGCACCCTTGTCTCCTCCTGTTTTTCTTACTCATCTATTTCTCTTTTTAAAAAATGTTTTATTTTATTTTTATTTTGTATGGTTACATAGTAGGTGTATATATTTATGGGGTATATGAGATATTTTGATACAGGCATACGATGCATAATGATCACATCAGGGTAAATGGGGTATCCCTCACCTCAAGCATTTATCATTTCTTTGTGTTACAAACATTTGTTATACTTCTAGTTATTTGAAAATGTACAATACATTATTGTTGACTGTAACCAGCCTGTTGTGCTATTAGATACTAGGTCTTATTTATTCTATCTCACTATATATATATATTTTTTTTTTTTTTTTTTTTTTTTTTTTTTTTTTTAAGACAGAGTCTTGCTCTGTCACCCAGGCTGGAGTGCAATGGTGCAGTCTTGGCTCACTGCAGCCTCCGCCTTCCAGGTTCAAGCAATTCTCCTGTCTCAGCCTCCTGAGTAGCTGGGATTACAGGTGTGTGGCACCATGCCCGGCTAATTTTTGTATTTTTAATAGAGAGGGGGTTTCACCAAGTTGGTCAGGCTGCTCTTGAACTCCTGACCTAGTGATCTGCCCACCTCAGCCTCCCAAAGTGCTGGGATTACAGGTGTGAGCCACCGTGCCCAGCATGTAACTATATTTTGTATACATTAACCATCTACTCTTCTCCCACCCAACCCCCCCACCTCCACCCTTCTCAGCCTCTGGTAACCATCATTCTATTCTCTATCTCTGTGAGTTTAATTGTTTTAATTTTTAGCTCTCACAAATGAGTGAGAACATGCAAAATTATTTTGCTATGCCTGGCTTATTTCATTTAATGTAATGTTCTTCAGTTCCATCCATGTTGTTGGAAATGACAGGATTTCATTCTTTTTTATGGCTGAATAGCACTCCATTGTGTATATTTACCACATTTTCTTTATACGTTCATCTGTTGATGGACATTTAGTTTGCCTCCAGATCTTGGCTATTGTGTAAACATGGGAGTGCAGACATCTCTTCAATATACTTCAATATACTTTCGATTTCCTTTCTTTCAGTTATATGCCTAGCAGTGGTATTGCTGGATCATATAGTAGTTATATTTTTAGCGATTTTTTTTGAGACAGGTTTTTGCTTTATTACCCAGGCTGGAGTGCAGTAGTGTGATCATAGCTCACTGCAAGTCTCAGCCTCCTGGACTCAAGTGATCTTCCTGCCTCAGCTTCCCAGGTAGTTGGGACCACAGACATGCACCACCACACTCAGCTAATTTTTACATTTTTATTTATTTACTTATTTATTTTTGTAGAGATGAGGTCCCACTTTGTTGCCCAGGTTGGTGTTGAACTCCTAGGGTCAGGTCATCCTCCCGCCTCAACTTCCTAAAATGTTGGGATTACAGGTGTGAGCCTATTTTTAGTTCTTTTGGGAACCTCCATACTGTTCTCCATAGTAGCTCTATTAATTTACACTCCCACCGACAGTGTACAAGGGTTCTCTTTTCTCCACATCCTTGCCAGGATTCATTATTGCCTGTCTTTCGAATAAAAATCATTTTAGCTGGAGTGCGGTGATATCTTAGAATAGTTTTGATTTGCATTTCTCTGATCACTGACTTTGAGCACCTGTTTGCAATTTGTATGTCATCTTTTGAGAAGTGTCTATTCAGATCTTTTGCCCATTTTTCAATAGGATTATTAGATTTTTTTTTGCCTAATGAGTTGTTTGAGCTCCTTATATGTTCTCGTTATTAATTCCTTGCCAGATGAATAGTTTGCAAATGTATTTTTTCCCATTCTGGGGTTGTCTCTTCACTTTGTTGATTGTTTCCATGGCTGTGCAGAAGCTTTTTAACTTGATGTGATCCCATTTGTCCACTTTTGCTTTGGCTGTCTGTACTTGTGGGGTATTGCTCAAGAAATCTTTGGCCCCAGACCAATTTCCAATACTCATGTATCTTTCAGAATTAATTTAGCATTGGAAGCATAAATAAATTGATATATTTTCTTCATAAATGGAAACATGCTTGATACTGTTTTCCCTTTTCTTATTTTACTTAATAATTATTATGAATCTCTCCTGCATATAATTTTCTTTAATGCTTGTACAGTCTTCTTTAGCAAAACTATGACATGACGTATTTTCAATCTTATATCCATGGATAGTTCTTTAAAGTTTTTTTGTTTTACCAAATAACACTGACATGAACCTCATGCATGTAAGTTCTTGTACACTGGTATGAGCATATAACTAGGAGAAATTCCTAAGAGTTGAATTAATGGGTCAAAAGGGTGTGTGTATTTTAAATGTTGATATTGCATAATTGCCTACCAATTATATGAATTTGCACTGTCACCAAAACGCTGTAAGAGGCCTTGCTTCCTATGCTTGTTGACGCAATATTATCAAATTTTTTATCTTTGTTGATATGAGAAGTGAAAAATTGTATTTTATATATTTATAAATTTGTTTGAAGGTATGATAATCACCTTTTTGTTTCTTTTCTCTGGTATGTCTCTTCCTATCCTTAGCTCACAGATTATTGGGCAAAAAAATCATTTGTTGATTTATAAGTGTTTTTTAATATTAAGAAATTAATTCTGTATATGTACATCAGAAATATTTTTTCTCAGTTTGTCATTTGATATTTATGATGAGTTTTTGCCACACATAAATTTTTGCATTTTATGTAGTTGAATTTATTAGCCTTTTATTTTATGGCTTCTATTTTTTTTTTTTTTTTTTTTTTTTTTTTTTTT